TCAGATAAACCCACCTTACAGTCTCTTATCATTTTTTTTTCTTTCTGTTGCTAATTTCCGATATTATATATTAGGTAAAGAGAGGCATACTTTTGAAACTTATTTCGTCATTCTCATAAGATTATTTTACGCATTTCGTCACTGTCGTTCCATTGTAAGTGATACACTACTACTCAGGAAACCCATACTTTCTAAGCCCCATGGTTTCTTAATTTGGGCTTCCTCGCTATATAGAATATCTGTAATTCTCTGCTGGCAAATTTGATGAAAAATGATAAAAAAATTATGACTTTTGCTTTAGGTGTCAGCCAAGTGCGAATGTCAATTTCGGCCCGTACAGGCGGCCCTTCGATAAACCAAGTAAAGTTTTAATGAGAAGAAGTTGTCCTATATGGAAAGGAATCCGAGACGACAATCTATCCACAAACATGATATAAGACAGGTGACTGTTAACTTATTACTATTTCAATTTCAACCTTATTGTGTTTACCCAAGAACTGATAGCGTTTATTCTGACAGATGCGAATGTCGGTCAGTCGCATCATTTGCGAAAACCAAGATTCCTGGATCTACTTCAAAGAAAAAGGTTAGTTCACCCTGAATTTCAATAATACTATAGTTTCCTTGCTTTCTTTCATTGGTTATGACTGTATCGCAAGGTTCAGAAATAATTATCAAGAACGTCTTTCAATTTCGAAAATGTTAGACGTGTGGTTGTATTAAGGGCGGGTGAGTGAGTGGCGTGTACTATGGGGGAACACATTGTACTTCTATTGAAATCAGAACTATAATAACTGAGATGCATTTTACGAACGGTGAATTCTATACTCATATGAACTAAGTACGTTATCTAGCATATCAAGCATCTCTTCCTGGGGTGATACATGTTTGTTCAATCAAAAGAAGTGATTGATGTCAAATGATAAACAGAACTGCGGCCATAAAGAGAAAGTTTCAGTGTAGTCACTTGAAAATAAGGATATGACTCTAAATTTCCTTAATTTTGTAGACAGTTTAAATGGTATGAGTTGTGATATTTAATGAGAAAGGAACCATGTCCTCTTTGAACAAACATAAGGCACACAACAAATTCAATATTGATTTACCTGATCCTATGTTTCTGAAAACAAAAACTCTAGGAATCATTTGTTTATAACGTATAACGAAGAAAAAAGTCAGAAATGGAATCAACCAAGCGGCCACTGAAATAAAGGATTTTGGCAAAGGAAAAAAAAGATGATGATGATGATTTTAAAAGGCGATCAACGAATTTTAAGGCGTCGATGTGTCAAAAACGGTTACGCTTATTCCTCGCCATCCTTTGTGGTTCATTTAAAGCAAATTTTCCTCAAATCGGCGTTCCTAAGGACTAAACGAAAACTGCAACATTTACAACCGCCTTTTTAATAAAAGATAAGAGGTCGTTCTCCTTGCATTTTAATAAGAATGAGTTAAACAAATTTCTGTCGCGATTGACGTGTCAGTTGTAGATGAAATATATCAAAGAAAGCAGCGCCACTTTCAAGTGTCAACTCAATCATGAGTCTGTAATAATTCCAGAGATCTTCCTTAAAATTAATTATCAAGGTGAGGTTCAATTTCAATCAAGTTATTTACATCCTTCGCTTTAGCATGAGAAATTTCCGACCCTAGTCTAAAAAAGTGAAATTAGATAAACGAGAAAGAACTCGTGTAGATCTTATTATGAAAGATAAGCCAAGCCATAACGTGCTGGTCGGATTTTATTATCCTTCACTCGGCCGAACAATGGAACTAAGCTGTACCAAATGCCAAATGGGATGCGCCCTTAGATGGGTGACAGGAAAAACTCTCTCAGCCTATTACGTACTTCACCAATTTTTCAACAGATTTGTTTCAATCTTCGTTAAAAGACATGTTAGCAGTAAAATAATAATAGCAATGATAATGATATTAATAATGATAAAATTAATAATAACATTCAAGAGGTTGTGGTCTCTCAGAAATTCGGGAAGCTAAACTCTTACGTCTTCATATTGACCACTCTTTTGCCGCACGTCAAACCAATGAACTCAACTAAATTCTTTCAAGGGCGAAAGAGAAACGATTTTAATACCGAAACTTCCCTCGTTTTTCTTTATTTACCAAACAAAAAGCATATCCTATTTAAACCATTCTACTTTCCATAGCCACCTTACAATAAAGGTAGAATTCTCCAAAACCAGTTAGGAAAGATTTATCACAATCAGTATCAGAGCAAAATATTACCTCCATTTCGTTTCCAATTTCGAGTCTTTTATCTTTCACTAACCATTCTGTACAGTTGTAGTCGGCCAGTAAAATCGGATAGTTGGCTGTAATCGGACACCACCTGTAATCGAACAGCTGAAATAGCCGATCATAACAACTACTTTCAGCCAAATCCACCAATCACAGAATTGATCACAATTAATAAGGCAACAACCACTTATCCTAAAAAAAAGACTGTGGAACTTCCAAAATTGAGGAATTTTTTACTTTAGACATTCTCTCTAACAGAGATATTTTCCTTAAATGTATTTGTTGTTTTCAGATATTGTAACGGTTGTGATTAATTGGTAACAGGACTTCGTGTCGTCCAATTCTGTCTGCAATCATATTGGTGAATGGTGAATCGGAGTCCCACTTGGCGGTCGTCCGAGTTCCAGTGTCAATCACTCGCACGGTTGAAGACCGAATTGGAATCCACTCGGTCCTATTATTATTATTATTATTATTAATATATGTCACTGTAGTCTCCCTCACGGCTATCCTTTTGGATGTCAAGCAGGGCTCTACCAGTTGTGCGACACTTTAAAAGACGACTAAAAATGCAGTATAGCAGCAGGATGTAACTAAAAGAAGTGAACACGTCATACACGTTTAGGATCAATGCTGTTTCGTTCTCTGGTAAGAGCAACAGACCGTGTTCAACGAATCTCTATGGACCCCAGGTTCTGGTTGGTAATCGCCTTTTTCACTTCTTGGATTCGTGCGCGTAAAGTTGATGGGCAATGTCACACAACGGAGTACTCTGTCAAAGGAATGTATCTTCGAGGTCACACATTCAAAAACGTACAAGTTGGACTGCACGAGTCCTGCCACTTCAAGTGCACCGAAGAAGTCACATGTCAGAGCTACAACTTCGTCATTGGTCAAAACATTTGTGAGCTAAACAATCGTACAAAAGAAGCAAGACCTGAAGATTTTTTGCCAGACAAGACGAGATACTACATGAGACGTCTCACTAACAGAGGTTATCATATAAAAAGAGAAGTGTTACGCATAAGTGTATCTCAAACAACGAAGCTTTTCTATGAGCTTCCGATTTCGCGATCGGATACTCTATCAACTAAGCTCTAGAAAGCTTGCTTCGCGAGCTAAGCTATATACCGAGCTAAGCTATATACCGAGCTTAGCTATATACCGAGCTAAGCTATATACCGAGCTAGGTTTTATTCCCATGCAAAGGGTTATTTTATCGTTCTAATAACTTTCTTTGGACTTATCGTTTTTTTTCGTTTTGATTTTTTACGTTACCAATGAACAATTTGCACATTATCCCTCTTACTGAGCCGCATCTTACAATCCACTCGCTTTTAGTTAGAGACCCATGGTGCAAGGTAAACGAGAAATAACACAGTTCAGAAGATGAGTATTAGTCGCCAATTTTTCAGTTAGGGAAGTTTTCCAGTAACCTTCGACTTGCTACTGCCAGTTTTCCGAGCTGACATCCGAAACTGTCGCACAAGACCAACTCCTTTGTTCTATTAACCCGTTTCTTTTTAATATCGTATAGTATCCCTGGGATCCATCCCACAGCTTCCAGCTGAATCATGCAGTGAGATCATAGCCAGTGAAGGAGGTGCGGTGGAATACAAGAAATACTGGATACACTCCGATGGGAAGAATGGGTCAATTGAGGCTTACTGTGAAGGTAGTCTGATTTGATTTGTAAACCTAATATACTGCATCCAACAACGGTACTGGTTCTGACCAGTGATTTCGATGGAACTGATTACAAATATGGGCCTTAATCAAACTGTTCAAAGGCAAAGAAACAGTCACAGTCTCCGTTATGTTTCCCGTGAAACTCCCGAGGGACTTTTCCCTTTATCCAACCCTTTGCTCGGGGTACTAGGGCTGATTCAGGTCTAAGGATGATGTAGGGGCTTAGAAACAGAACTCCTGACAAGAAGAACACCCCAGCCACATAGATTGCTTACAATTACATTAATATTTAATTTATTACAGGTGGCTGGCAGAAGGTAAATGGCAAAGATCCAGTCTGCTTTGGAACCAAAGGCAACATGTACGGTTCCATCAACATCACGAAAACTGGACACCTCAGGACAATGAAGCTCATTCACAAAAATGGATCGCTACATTGCAATTCAGAAACGAGTCCATCTTTCTGGGGCTGCACCTTCGCATCATATGGCAAAAAACTGTCAACAATTATAACAGATACCGGAAAAAATATCGTTCTACCTCCCGTCGAAGACTTAGAAGGTTTTCCTGCCTCAAAACTTCACGGGTGTAGCACCAAGAAACACTTCTACAGTCTTGGTGAGACTAGCCACAATTCTACAGTGCTAGTTTTCCGTAACCTTTCCAGTCCATTGTCTGTGTCTCGAAATCAAGAGTTGCAGATATGGTATGGGCAGGATTTGAAAGACTGTTCGGAAAGACAGAACAGTGGTTCAGCTTGTGTTGATGTGTATGCATGGTACGCGTAAGAGAACCGTCACTCCGCCCGTCCTTTCTTTTGTTACTTGTGGGCATCTGTAAGACGCTGATACTGTATATTACCAGTTTACATTTCGTATCTTCGTAAAAAATGCCTTCCTGAAGTCGTACAAGCCTTAAGTTGAGTTTGCTACTCTAAAGGCTCACTGTTTGCGCAACAAGATGAGCAAGAGAGTAATTTACCACAACACTTTAGCATGCACTATCTCAGCATTAATCATAACCATTACTATTTCCTTAAATGTGATTGGTGTACTAACCGCTTTATTTTTCACAAATTGCTTTGTAATAATGGTAATAAGAATGAGCGGAGTCTTGCAATTCGGTCTGTAATCATATGAGTGATTGACAAAATCGGACTCAGACAGAATAGGACGACACGAAGTCCTGTAACCAATTAATCATAACCATTACAATTTCCGAAAAAACAAACTTATCTGGAACAAATATCTCCGGTGAAGACAATGGCTAAAGTAAAAAGTTCCTCCATTTTTGAAATTCCCCAGTTTTTCTTCGGAGAAGTGGTTGTTGCTACAGTTATTGTGATCACTTCTGTGATTGGTAGATTTAGCCGAGTGAACTTGGTATGATTGGCTGCTTCAACTGTCCGATTACAGCCAACTCACAGTCTTCGTTTCGTCCAATTCTGTCTGTAATTATACTCGTAATTAACAAATCGGACTCTCGCTTCGCGGTCGTCCGATTTTATTAATCATTCACATGATTACAGACCAAATTAGACTCTTATTACCATTATTAATACAATAACAAGTTTGAACCAAATTGAAGGTTTTTAACTCCCAAATAAAACTTTGATGGTAGTTCCAAGGTGACTGTTAACAGTTAACTTTCTTGTGTGTAATCAGTTACCCATATGCCACTAAAAATCCAGTTAGTTGTTGCACAAAACGGTTCAGAATTAGGAAAGGTGTGATAGAATCTAAGAGAATTGCTGCTCTTCGTTGGGACACCCTATGCTTTTAGAAAGACGGTCAAAGGTGAAAGTTTAACTTGTTTACGAATATATTATCATTGTACTTATTCTTATCAATTTTATTATCGTTACTATTATTTTCATCATTGTTTATGTTATTGCTTTGCTATAACTAGTGGAAAGTGGAAACAATGACTATTTTATTAAAAAGCTGAACTTTGTACAGGAATTCCGTTGGCGTCATAGCGTCACGTGAACTGTTGAAGTGCAGTTTTAACCCTGTGAAGACATAAGGAAATAAAACTGTTAATAAAAGGAAAAAAGAACGAGATATAAGATGCCTTTGAACCACAATCTACTCCCGAGAAGTCAGTGTACACTGTAATACTCCATACCATGAAGAAGTACCGTAAACACTTCCTACTTGAGAAGCCCCTCTCTCCAATGAGCCTCTCTCCCAAAAAAGACCCTCTCCCAAAAAAGCCTCTCTCCAAAAAAGCCCCTCTTTCCAATAAGCTCCTCTCTCTAATTAACCCCCTTTCCCAAAAAAGTCCCCCTACAAAAAAAAGCCTCTTTCTCCGATAAGCCCCTTTCTCCGATGAGCCCCTTTGTCCAATAAGCTCCTCTCTCCAGTAAGCCCTTCTCTCAAAAAAGCCCCTCTCTCCAATAAAGCATCTTTATCAAAACACAAAACAAGTGTCTGCTCTTAATCCCTCTCCTTGAAACAAAACTCCTAAATAAAATGCACAAGGTAAGATGACGATGCTCCACAGAGGGTTGGAGAGTGCTATCGTTATTAAACAGCAAGAGGCAGCCTTTAAGCCCAAAAGAAAATTATGCTTGCATTAGAAAGGCTATACCACTACTCCGTTTTTTGCAATTTTAGCGGAGAAATAACACTGTGGACGTTAAGTAATAACTATTGAAGCCTGGCAACACTTCAGTTCAAAAAATGATCCGCATTTTAGCTCCTAGTGAATTTTTTAATGAGCTCTCCAACAAGAAGCCCTGGTAATAAATCGCATCCCCATGTGCTTGTTAAAGCTTGAATTTATGCCTATAGTTTGTTCTCCGTACGTACGGTCTGTGCTATGTTTCTCTAATTGCATCTGATTCGCAGCGGCCCTTCAAGCGATGACTTGTCTTTTAAACGATGTCTACATTCCTTAATTCTCAAAAAAAAAAAACGCGAAACTGAACAGTCCTCTCTCAGGAAATAATGATAAAATATTCGCCAAAAAATATTTCGCAACTGTTTTGTATAGGTCAGAGAGTACCAACTGATTGATTTTGGTCCGCAAAGGAGGCCAAAGGTAGTGGCATCCGTTCTCCGTTTACCATCCGTGGCTTAACTTGAAACAAGTCCCAGATAGGGCTCTCATGTAATCCTAAATTAGCTCTTTAAGTACCTTTACTAATAAACCTTCCGACAAGAAATCACCGCCGTACCTTTCAAACAGATTGACGTCTGATGTTGTAAGCAGGGACTGCAGTAATTTTTGCACTCCAAGATCGCGAAGCTTTTGCTGTCTGTCCACAGCACCCTCTTCTGTGCTCCACACCAGGTTGGAGACACAGTATGTGGCTGCCATTTGTAGCTTAACGCTGTCGTTCATCATGTAATGCATGAGTCGTTTGAGCAGAATCTCGTCTCTCATCACAAATTCCTTGGCTGAGGAACCATTGGCGATGTTGGCGATCACGCACAACGCCTAGAAACGCGAAACAAAATAGTAAAAGAATAAATAAGTATGTGTAATAGCATGGGCCCGAAGACAATTAAAGATTAATTTACGCGTATTTTCAAAGTTTTCACAAAATTGCCCGAGTCGCAAAGCCCGAGTGCAATAGCGATTACTTGTTTTTATGTAAAGGGAAAAATATTTGAGGGAATCGTATTTGCGCACGATGTCCGCGCGATGAAGCCCTTTAAATGCCGCCAAAAGTGACACAACAGACGTAGCTGACCAACATATGCACTGAACATCTTATTCTCAAAATACAATTAACAACGTAACACGGCTTCATTCTGTTAAACTACAATCAGTAAATCATTGCCGCTAACAGCAAAGAGGCTCAATCAGCATCAGATAATCACGCCCTCTTGATTACCAAAAGTTCCCTCGCGTTTAAGAAAAAAATGCCCCTACGTCAGCCAATCAGCATTCAGTTATTTTGCCCCGCATATGATAACTAAAAAAAAACAAATACTCGGTGGCAAATTGGTCCTTCTCAGTTAACGGAGGGGGATCACCTTAAAGGGGCACTTTTGCGAAGCGGGTGCTTAATCGACCACTTACAAGATGGCACCAGGTCAGGTGTTCACGAAAACTAAGGAAATTATAAATGATACAGCCAAATTGAGAAATGGGCTTCTAGTGATCTCTCTCTCCTGTACCTGTTCTTTGACATCCTCAGTGCGTGTCTCACTGTCCAGTATCGGCTTCACACTATCCATAATCCGCGCGCCATGAAGGAGCATGATACGATCAATATCCTGAGGTACAAGTAGATCAAGGAAGGAAATCGAATTAATAAAATTTTGTGCTCAAATGAAGGACGCGAAAGTTTGCTCGTCACGAAGGAAAGATATACGTAATTTTGAACGAATCCCTAAAAGGAATACTGCGACACTGAACACTGCGCATGAGCCATCATGTTGGCCATGCTCCACTGATGAGGCCTGACGAGCCATATGAATTATTTTGCTGTTCAAGCAAATTATTACTATTACAGCTGCAAGAGAAAAAAATTGGTAAGAGACAGATTGAGCTCTTCCCCGTCCCCTGGCAACCACACTAACGTTGTGTTTTGTCTATTTTGTTTAATTGTTGTTGTGTTTTGTTGCTGTTGTTATTATTGTTATTTTTGGTGATATTTTAAACTGAATTCTCAAGAGCAGTGTAATATTTAAGTACTAACAAAAGATAATCTTCCTTAAATTAATCACTTCAGTGCTTAATTAATAGTTATCGGAGGGATTTTTCGTCACATACGAATTTTGTTCCTTCTTGTCAATAAACGTTTTCTTCTTCGTCTAGAATGACCTTTTAGATGGAAAAAGGCCAGTTCCCCAACGGGCCACTTGTTCTTCTTTGCTTGAATCTACTCCTGGCAACTTTATTATTAAATTTGAGAGATGAACGTACTAACTCTCGAAAACAATTGCATTTCGCACTCTGATTTAATAGGATAAATTTTCCATGATTGACCGATTTATTGCGCTTTACCGATGGGAGGAGTGGATTCAAGGATTCACAATGAGTCCCTCGGTCAAATAATATTTGGCAAAAAATAGCCGATGAACGAACTCGCTGCGTCGGAGTAAAACTCCAATGTTAAGTAGTTTAAAATTTGATAAACTTAATCTTAGATTGTGTAAATTTTGGCAGTTTTTTATACCTCATGCCTTACCCCAAAATAAACCCTAACGCTAGCCTCTAACAACCGGCTGGAGATTACACTGTAACCTAGCAGACGCCTGTTATTTGTTTTACATCGTATGAAGAAAATACAAGCTGTCCAAAATGGCGAATATAAAAGAAGTAAGTTTCTAAAGAAACTGTGGTGCTGCACCGGTGGGAGAGTATAACAGGGTAATTTAGTATAATCAACTCAGTCGATAAGGTAAATTGGCCACCGTAAAGCGTTGACAAAGGCTAATGCTCGAAACGTCAGCTTTTAAACTATTTACGGTGGCCAATTTACGTTGTTGACTCAGTTGATAATACTAAATTACCCTAAACGATGATTAGCTGAATGAAAAAGTTAGACAAGTATTCAATGTGACAAAATCAAAGTAGGGGATATTGACGACCGACGCGGGCTAAATAAAACATACTGAAAGGAACTTTTCAATTACTGACAGAGTTAAAGTCGGACAAAGGACATTCCAAAGGTCCCTGTCTGGATTTGAAACCTAGTGATATGACCCTCAATTGTACAATGGATCCTGCAGATTAAAGAACCAAATTAACATAGAATATATTTCAACTACAATGTTTTCTCTCACGTACGTAATCGAAATTCTTGTCTCAAACGTTTCGAAGGTTGAAAACTCGTTTAAAGGAGGGTATTGATTCGTCTTAGAGCACAATTCGATTCTACATCTCCTATCTGACACACTACTACGTGATCAACCACTATTTCGCATCTAAAATTTTCCAAAATTTCTTAGAATGCTAATCGTGTGCCAATCACTAGCAAATGTCGCGGAAATACTCTTCAAGTCTTGTTTGGATTATGCTGGAAACCGACAGTCAAAGATACAAATAAATCTCCCTGAATCTAACATACTTCGCTTTTGTCCGAAAGGGCTCATTTCTCAACCCCTAACTCAACTTATTTTATGGCACCAAACACTTACAAGGTCACACAGTATGTTCAACAACAAATGACTTCCGCTGAAGTAAACTTAGGTAAGCTTCAGCGGGGATTCCCCCACCCATCACATCTCGTTTACTTTCGTATTTCTCTTCGAAGAAAAAAATTTAATTGGAAAAATAATATTCTTCCCAATTTTTCGTCAAAATCAACGCGATGTCTTAAGTCCAACACTCAGTAACACTATAATTTGAAGCAATCTCCTCGAGGAGGAACTGTGAAAAAAAAAAAAAAAAAAAAAGTGGCGTGACTGGATCTATTTATAGATGTTTGTTCATATTATCGTCTGAGACAATCTGAAACGAAAAGTATAAATATCATCACGCAAATCATCACGTAAATCAAGTCATTTGGATCTTAAGCCCGAGGAGGACGAACGGAAAGATCGAAGGACTTCACGTCGTATTCACGCTAAGACATTCTCTCGCAGAAACAGACCAACACTGCTGAAACATTACATTTATCATTGTCAATTTAGAGGAAACGGAAGAAAAAAGAACTGGTGATAAATATTGCACATGGATGGCTGCAAAATTTACAGCTGCGTGTTTAATCCAATTTAGATAGTCGTGACCACTACGCCGCCCTCTTGCGTTTGAAATGAAAGGATATCATCAAATAATAATTTGTGTTTTAACCTTCTGCATGGTCAAAGTCACCAGCCAAAAAAGTGCGGGATCAAAACACTGTAATGCATTTCGCCGCTGCGACTGGAAGAAGGCACCCACTCTATTCGTGAAAGTTCCAACACAAAGGGTTGTATGTTCGATGAAGAGCAGCACGGGTGAACCATGTACCATGGACATAAACCAGATTTTAAAATTACTACCGGCCAGCAGCGATGTCGTGCTGTACTTTGTCACCGACTGTTTAACTCCGACGCAAATTTCTTTTAACAATTCTTTAAACGTCACCAAGAAAAACATCATATCCTACATGCAGATCATGAGACATTGCCGCATTTCAGTAGAGGCCCTGTCTGTCTGGGGGCAAGCCACAGATTTTCGGGTGTTCTACGCAATGGCGAACACAACTTTAATGGAAACGAACGAAACATTAAAAACTAGCTCACGTCGAGCACTGAAAAACATTGGTTCTCTTGCTATTGACAACTCTAACCCGCGAGGCATCCCCAGAATTTTTAGGAAATACGTCTGGCCAAAGATAGCCGAAGTCTCACTTTCCAATTTACAGCTTTCCTCAATCCCTGCAAACCTAAATAACACCATGCCGCTACTTCAGTCTCTAGAGGTTTCTCACAACAATTTTTCAAGACCACCGCCATTTCCTTGGTGCAACACCACACTTGAACTGCCGAGAGGACTGGAGAGAACGCCAACTGCAAATCACCACTATCAATTCGGCACCATCGTTAATCCGAAGTTGTACCGACGATTCTTCGATTTGTCGTATAACAACATCGTAGATTTGGCGACCCACGAATTTAAAGGACTTCTAAATGCTTTAAATCTAGAGGGAAATGGACTAAAAGCAGTTGGACCAAAGTGTTTCCTCGGTTTGAATGGAATACAAGTAATAAACCTGCGAAATAACAAATTGAATGATTTGCCTTCACAATTATTCCAAGGACTCCGAAGTCTCCTGGAATTACGACTAGATCACAACAATATCTCGTCTTTACCGATCCAACTTTTTAAAAACCTCACAAATATCAAAAGAATTGACTTAGGAAGTAACAAACTGAGCTTCGTTCAAAATGAATTGTTCACCAACTTGAAATCTTGTGAAATATTGAATTTAAATGATAATCAAATCACTCTTGTGGATGATGACGCTTTTCCCACCGATTCAAGTTCTTTGCAAAAGATTAACCTCCAAAACAACAAAATAACGCGGATTCCTTCATCTTTACTCCTGCAACGACATGCTACAGAAATAAATCTGTCATTCAATGAATTGAATTTTCAAGATCTTAGAAACCTCTTCAAGCAAATAGACTTAAACACGTTTTTGTACCACCATCGTGATACGGCGAGTTCAGTCCGGTTTAGACTAAAGGAAAGCTTCAATCAAATCAGCTTTGCCTATAATAAATTTTCGAAAATAAACGTCAAGACACTCAACAAAACAGAGATAGGTCTATTCGAGTTTCTCCTGCAAATTTATACAATCGACATGACTGGGAACCTCCTGAAGTGTGATTGCGATATCTTGTTTTTGACTCGCTGGCTTCGATCATTGATGCTGAAGCATCCGCGTATTCAAAATGTGCACTTTGAAACTTGGAAATGTACGGCTAATGATGAAGTTAACGATAAACCTATACTATCTGTACACGAAGACGAGTTCAAATGCCAGAGAAATCTCAAAAACTGTCCTCAAAGATGTTTGTGTTATGTACGAGCCATGGATGAAGCTGTGGTCATCGACTGCAAAGGAAGAAACCTTACTGAGCTTCCTTCCAAGGTTCCAAGAGGTAATCTAGTTCTTCATGCAGAGAACAATAACATCCGGGAGATTCTTCCACATTCCTATTTAGAAAACGTTTCAGCCCTTTATCTCACTGAAAACGATATCCATGTCGTAAACGAGTCCATAGTAAGAAAGTTAACGCAAACTAAAATTCTTTTCATTGATTCGAATAAGCTGACCAGTTTACCGCGGAACATTGAAGACGTCAATTTCACCATTCTCGCGATAAACCACAATTTCTTCAAGTGCGACTGTACAACAAAATGGATGAAGTACTGGTTGCTAACAGAGTCAAGTAGAATTCAAAACATGGAAAACGTTTTGTGCAACTCCGAGAATGCTCAAGGGAAAGCAATTTACAGCCTACCAGATGATGAGTTTGTTTGTCAAATTTCTGCCAACGATGATGCAAATACGCCGTCCACAACAATGGGTACTGAGTATAAAGTCATCGCTTTGACTCTTGCAGGTGCGCTGGTTTTGACTCTTATCGTTTTCTTTGTGATTTTCAAGTACCGCGGAGAAATGAAAGTGTTCATGTTCACTCACTTCAACTGGCACCCATTTGATCGCATAGACGACTCCGACCCAAGTAAACTATACGATGCGTTTGTGTCTTACAATAGCAATGACCACCGTTGGGTGTCAAACACTTTATGGGACAGACTTGAAAATCACGACCCCCCCTACACACTGTGTGTCCATGACCGCGACTTCCAAGTGGGTAAAACAATACAAGAAAATATTTTCAAGAGCGTCGACCAAAGCAAGCGAATGATCATGGTGTTATCCAATAACTTCTTAAAAAGCGAGTGGTGCTTGCTGGAATTCCGCGCCGCACATCGGAAAGTTCTGGAGGAACGTACTAATTATCTAATCATCATTCTGCTAGATGACGTGAACATGGACGAGCTTGATGAAGAAATGAAATTATACATGCGCACTAACACGTATCTCAGTGTCAACAACAAGTGGTTCTGGCAGAGACTTTACTATGCTATGCCTCACATAACAGTCAGGCAAATAAGAGCAAGAAATCTCTCGAATACTCCCTCTAATGTGACATCGCATTCTGTGGCTCAAAGCGTGTTCACTAATGGGGCATACTCTGTATCTTAACCTTCCCACAAGTGTTTGACATTCAACTCCACCCACAAATTGTTACTTGGTAATAGTCTAATTGGCAGCTGTTCTTAAGGATATCACGCAACATACCAAGCGAAAGAAAGAGTCACGAAAAAATTCCAAAGAACGGCTACGAACGGCCATTGAAATAATTAAACAGCTCCTTGAAGAGGAGGTATAAAACAGTTCTTCGGAGGAAAAAGTTAATGCAATAAAGAAATGCTTCAGTTTTCCTTGTTACTCACCAGAATCAGAAAGTAATATTATTCGCGAAACGAAACCAAGTTAACTATTCAGACCTTTCGACAATTTACCATACGTAGGGTTCAAGTTTTAAAACATTAATATTGCGTAAATCAATGTTTATAAAAAGATGAATTTAATATAATATCTTTCCCTCAACTGATTCGAAATTCAAACAACTTCTTGATTATTGTTGGGGTCTTTATGTTGGCGTTTTCTTGAAAATTACAGTTCAAGAGTTTAGCGTATGAAACCAAAAGGTTTGGTTTAATCACCCGAGTGAAGTTTGTTCTATTTTCAAACTATTCCCCTACAGTAATGTACTGTTGGTAGTTGATTGTAAGGAACATTGTGAATTTGTAAGTCGTGCAATGTATCTAACTATATCAGCGACTGTTAGAAAAAACGTTTTCTAAGTAACAACAGATAAACACAGTAGATTAATTTTGTATACGTATCACTTACGTTTGCGGAACAATGCAGACTACTTATAAAAATAAACAAAAGCGTAAGAAATTATCAAAAAGACTTGACTTATTGACTGAGTGGTAGGGTCGGTCGGGAATAAGTTTGGCCGTCGCTCATTTTTTTTTTCCTTTCTTCTTTTAGCTCGCGAGGCAGTATGGCTTCTGTACGGCCCTTGCACACCGTGGCGCACGGCCCTCATACGGGTATTTCTATACAATTTTTTCGATAATGGTTCAATTCAGTTCATAAATACCTTTAATGACAAAGCAAGCTTGGTCAAGAAAGTATTTTTCAAATCAAAGAACTGCTAATTACCTCACGCCCTGACAACAGATTCCTCATCAGACCCAGCGTTTTCATCGTCACTTGTGTGTCTGGATCATCAAGAAGGCTGCAAAATGAAAACAAAAAGCTTATATTTTTTATAGCCTACTTGCAGTGGTGTGAATTGAGAAAAAACAAACTGTACATACATACATTGAAAAACGAAGTCACTAAATTGCACGAGAAGAAAAACCTTGGTGTGATGGCGATCAGATCTACTGAGGTTTAAAGCAGAAAGAGACACTCTCTAGTTTGTAGAGCTATATTTTATTGCTTTTCTGAAAGAAAGCGAATCTGATACGGGTCGAAAATTGTTCCACTGCTCCAACTATTACACATGACTTCTTTTAGGCCTTTTCACAAGTTACCAACCTGAAAAGCTGCTCTGGTCCCAACACTTCAAGTATTTTATTTTTAGTTCCTTCATCTGCCTGGTAAGCCATATTCTACGAAGTGTAACAAGAGAAAAAACACCTTGTTCATCGCTCGAGTTAATCACATGGCGGGATATTGGCGAGTTCTCTTATGACCTTAAATTGCGTTGTACGGACCTCGACTTCATATCGCTTCGTAACAACGCATGAAAAAGACCAAGGCCAATATGCTGCCTTCTTGAGCGTACAAGCTGGTTCAATGAATGATTCTGTTGTTACTGTCAAAACGTTCGGTTGTTATATTTTGCAATCTCAAAGCTATAAACTTTAACAAGTCATGCAGCAATGTGCCAACATTTGAAACAACTAATTATCGGATGCGTAGTAACTGACAGCTAAAATAAGAAAGGCGAATATGTTATATGTCTTGTTATAAACGTAGTGGTTTGAGTTCCAATTAATAAGTGCAATAATAATAACTTTTTAATGATAGTTATAATAATAATGGGATTTAGCAGTGCGCATTCCCGGAGGTGGCTCTTCTTGTCCACTGTTTCCAGGTCGAATTGGAATTTAGAATGTGGGTTTTTGTGGAGGGGGGAAAACCGGAGGACCCGGAGAAAAACCCTCCGAGCAGGGACGAGGACCAACAGCAAGCTCAACCCACATGTGACAATAGGTCCGGAAATCGAACCCGGCGACAGGAGGCGAGCGCTCTCACCACTGCGCCATCCCCACTCCCTTTCCAGGCCCGCACTACACTTGCAACCGCGACATTCTGACTAAATATTAACAAATTTAAATAAACCAAACAAATCCAAACGATCGCGTCATGTTAAGTTTTTCATGTCTTCTCCATTTATCTTGCCACTCCACTCCCAATAAGGAGAAAAGAAGAGTAATGATTCGTAAATCTTACCATTAGAGCCCAGACCCCGTTCAATCGCAGTGCAGTTTCTGAGCGCCTGGTTAAATTTGACAACAAGTTGACGGCTCCTGCTTCTAATATGGGCTGAAATAGAAAGTGAAAATACTGTTACTATTTCAACATTTTACTTCTTGAGTGACACTGTACGGGCGCTTGTTAAATGCCATTCACGATGACCTTGCTCACAACCCACATATGAGCACTACTCTCTCTACCCATGAAGATAAATGGGAATCAAGAACAGGTACACCGAAAAAATCTTAGGAGCGAGGGGGGAGAGGGGGTAAAATTTAACTGTAATAGATTTGCACCCCTCATAGGAGGAATAGCAATACTCCCAGTGGCGTCATGCCAAAAGAACCATGATACGTTCTAGCATAGTGGGCCATTTGGTTCGTACGACATCTCAACGTTTGGTGTGTCAAGTCATGGCCTTGATTTGATTGACTGATTTATTTCGCAAGAAAATATTTACAATAATTATACGTGAATGATATATGTTTTTTTTTCTTATTCCTGGCAAGGAAGCTCATTTGGAAACCATGGGGCTCTTGACAATGAGCTCCCCACTCACATAGATCAAAAATAAAGTTATCATGCGTGGACTACTATTAACAAAACATAATTAAGATAAAAAGGAACGAAAAGCGAAAAATGACAGTTCAAAAAGAAAAATACACAAAAATACAAACACAATCACACAAAAAGCACGCGTGCAGACAGACTAAAGACAAAAAAAACAGCAAATTATATTTACTTGAAGAGAATCAGGAAAGGAGCAATGCTCGTAGATTTAAAACGAGAGACGGTAGGGGCACTTTGTATATTGTGGTTAAAAGAATTAAGTACTTTTGGTGCCTGAAATTTTATGGCAAACCGTCTTATATTAATTCGAGCATAAAATAACCAACAGATATCAGAGTTTGTAGTATTGTTCGAATAAATTTGATTCAAATTGTAAATAAAAATATTTATATAACTACATTAAGAAGAATGGCTATTTTATATAGAAACACAAACTTGGCAAATTGAAATAAATATCAGGAAAGTTTAATATTTGTAAGTTCTTAAAAAAAGAAAAAAGGATAAGTATGAGCATGGAATGGCTTTCGTTGAAATTATTCTACTAATTTCCTCCTGAAATATGACAATGCACTTTGAGTTTGTGGGATAAAGTACCCAGACAGTGATGGGTCGATGAACGTGTTTTGACTAGGCTATAACTTCCATATTTACCTCTTTACTGGGAGAGAATTCCAGCAACAGATTACAGAGTGCAGAGGAGGCCACAGTCATCATGTTATCATTGGCGTCCTGAAGTAATTTCATAATGGGCTTCCAAACCGCCGTGTCCTGGAAACTAGTTCTTAACTGTTGCACAGAACGCGACAGGCTGTGGAGACACTTCACTGCAGCTAACTTGACATTTGTGTTGGGATCCTCTAGACCGGACACCACGTGATCCATGGTGCATTCGATATCAATAATCTGCAGAGCAAGTCATGTCATTCAATCTAATACACTTTCAAACATTAACAAACGGTTACAAGGAAGAAAATAAGAGAGTCGGCTCCCGAATCAAAAACATATTTTGAAGAACCTTATTTTGCAGAAGAGCTTAAATCTTGTTCACTCCCAAGATCTTGTCAGTAATTCTCCTTTTTGTCTGCCATACAATAATTGTGACATTGGTTAAAAGAATTTAGTATTGGATCACCTGATAAAACCCTATTTGATATTTTTGTCTATCCTCATTCCTTGTCAGCTTGATTTTGTATTGATTTAATAAGGGGAAATTCTGTCTTGATCACTCAAGGGAGTTAGGCGGCCAAAAGAACTTTTGTCACCTTTTTCCTGATGTCTTCATCGTTTGCGCCAACAGAGGCAAGAGCTTTGAATGCACTCTATAAAAAATGAATAAATAGTTACATAAAAATAATACATAAAAATAATAACAATAATAACAAATACAGTCGAACCCGTATTTAGCGGCACGGTATTAAGCGGTCAGTTGTCAAAGTCCCGAAGTGGAATTTTCTGCAACTTTAAACTGTAATTTTCACCTTAATTAGGCGGTCACCTCTTTCAAGCGGTAGCGGTAACCCTCTGCAAGTGAGGCTCGCCGCTAGTGGAAAAGGTTCTCGTGGGCAGAGACTAGAGATGTACGCGTCCATCAGTCGCTTACAAGAAATTGACTGGCAAACTCGAGCTTTGAAAAGGAAGTATGCGTAGGTGAAGACAAATTTAACACTTAAATATGGCTCTGTGATCATTGCAGGGAAAACTTTGAATGTACTTTACCCTGGATTAAACTTCTGAAACCTTATGCAACCCTACACTGTTTCAAGAAGAATAACAACCTGAGAAAGGTTGCCCTCCCCATTTCTCCCCCACTCTTCCCCTGCCCGAATGTGGTTATACCCACCTCTCTCATGAGAGCGTAAGAGCTGTCGTCCAAGTCACTTTTGACCAAGAAGCCAGTTAGCGTTTTAATCAAGTGATCAGAAATGGCTGCCGTCCTCTGCAGCTCTGTGTCTTCTTCAATGAGGAATGCTAAAAGAAGTGGCGAATCAAATAGTAGACTCTTAAAGGCAGTTTCATACACTAACCTGTATCTGTACCAAGAACTGCTGTTTGAATGGTCCAGTGGACCAACATAAATAGCAATTTTTTAATATAACAATTCTCAATTGAGTGTCGAAAGTAATCAAGGATTAAATTGGTTTAACTTTTCTACGCCCTCTGATTGATTCAGGAAACTCGCGCTATCCTCTCAAACAATCAGTTTCAAAACCAAAACCAATCGCGGCCTCAACACACGCGTTTTCCCGCGCTTTGAGCAGTATGCTTTCCATTATCAATTCTCATTGGCTCGTTGTGATATTTTCCTTTCCTCTGATTGGCCGTTGAATTGCACTCTAACCCGCTAACAGGACTGTGTTTTCTTTTAAGTATTAAAGTAATTGGGTTTCAACCCCAATTTTCACACCAGTTCTCCTAGAATCAAAACTCTTTGAGACAATTGTAGTGTGAGTGTTGAATAACAAGTTGATTGAGGAAGAAAATGTCCTGGATCGAGCCTGAAAGAGGGTCATCTTTATGTGTTCTTAGGTAGAACACTAATTTATAACAGCGCATTTCTCTCTCTCTCTCTCTCATGATGACTATAAAAACTGTCAGCCGAGGGAAACCTGGCAAAAACCTCGAGGGATGCCTACATTATACTACTGATAAATCTACATCAATTCTGTCTGGAAATGTTCCTAGTAACTGCATGCTACATACCCTAGGATGAACTAAGGCACTGTATGTCATTTGCCTCTCAAACAGAAACACAAGGTTGAACTTTTCATTCTGATCAATGAGTTAAATGCAAAACTTCAATATAAACCATTACCTCTACCCTTACAAAAAAAAAAATGATTTCATCAAAACTAACCTAATGTCTCTGCTGCCTCAGCTCTGACGGTGAGGTTTTTGTCCAATTTACACATTCTGACCACTGTGGCAAGAACCTTAAAAAGCAATCACTCACTTGTATTGTGTTGACATCATATTTACCAATTATAAATGGAGGCAAAAATAATTCAACCCACTGAATTGCAGAAAGGAGTCAGAACTGCCATCATGCCTTCTTGATAGTACATACGTATTTCTTGTACATTTATTTGTGTTCAGTGTTTTAAAAACTCACGGTCATGTAGTTTATGCTCTGTATGTACAGTGTAAATCATTGTACACCATGATCTATCATAATGTTGGAAGCAGAGACATTTGAATTGAATCTAATCCCTTCAAGAGAGACACAAGAACTCCATAAGCTGCACAATTTCAATAACAGACACCCTTTCCTTCCAAATCAACCAAGACTCTAAAAAATAACTTGACAAGGAACAAGAAATATTGAATATTTTTCCAAGGCTACCCAAGTGAGACAAAACACTGTGACAGGTGCACATACAATGTACTGTAGGCAAGAAAACAAACATCCTTTCATCCCTCTCAATGAGAGTCCCCTCCCCTCCCCTCCCTTCCTTCAAACAATATACTACAGGGCCCAGTTGTTTAAAGGCTGATTGGCACTAACCCAGACTTAAATTTCATCCAGGTTTCTATATTTCTTTGTTCAAAAGCCATTTAGGAAGAATATTCCCTATTCTTTTAGACCATCCAATGACCAAATTGCAAGCAAAAAAGATTTGCATTGAATTTTCTTTTAAAGCTTTCAGACCTGAAATCAAATTTCACCCTAACCCTGGGTTATCTTAACCCAGCTTTGAACAACCCAGGCCAGGAATTAAAGTGAGAAGATAAGGCTGAAAACTGAAGTTAGGTGCAATGAGTAACAACATGACTGCAAGTAGGTCTATACACACCTTGATCAGTAGCGAATGATGTTCTGCTGCTGGTACTGCCCCTGCCCTGTGCATGTTTGTCAAACTGCAATGTACAGTGTACATTTATTTCTTAAATTAGTCAGAGAGACAGAAACTCAAATAATTCATTCAAACAGCATAACTGCGCCATGTGCATACAGTTAAAGGATACAGTTAAGAACATGTTGATAGAAAGACAGATTGAATTTCAAGGACCCAGAAAGGCAAAAGGGATTACATGGACAGATAGATTGACTGACAAGCAGACAAACAGATAAACAGCCAGAGAGAAAGATGGATTGGACCAGCGAAAAAAAAAAAAGAATTTAGGAAAGGCACATATGCACGCAGTTTGGTAGACAGACAAGCAGGTGGGTAGAGAGATAGACAGATGGATGAAAAGATGGAAAGAGAGACTGGTGGACACAAAGAAACAAAGACCACATCAAAAACAGATGGAAGGAAGGAAGGAAGGAGTAAAAGACACTACAAACAGACAGTTGGAAGATCAGATTGATACCCACCACTTTGCAGCTCCAAGCTGAATCTCATCGGGTCTGTCTCTTGACAGCAGCTTAGTAAATATTTGAACCAGCTGCTCACCTTGATGTGTTGCTTTGGGTTTGCAAAAAATAGCCAAAAAATTGAATTAGGAACAAAAAATGTGTTATGCTTTTACACTCTTGCAGTACTGTACAGTGATGAAAGCTGTTTGTAGCTAAAGTTGAACCTGAAAGAATTTCTCCTTAATATATCATTAAAATATCGAGCAGACAAGTGATGAAAATAAAGAAAAATATCAATTAGGGAATTATACATGTATGTATGTTGATCCAATATCAAATTCTCCAAACTAACATTACAAGAACTGTATGGCATACAGAAAGGAGAATTAGTAATGAGATCTCATGAGTTAAAGGCCAGTTAAGTGGCACCCTATTTTAAGCGGTTACCCTGTACTACAGAAAGCAGAAAGTTTCCCCTTAATCACTGTAATTTTCACCTCTATTAGGCAGCCACCTCTATTAAATGGTCATGGTCACCCTTAATTAAGTCCCAACTGCCTATTTTTATTGTCTTCTGCTTGTATTGAATGGTCACTGAAAGAATAACTATTCGAGTAATTTTTAATCCTTGTTCCTCTCTCAAAATTCAAGTACCGGTAGTATTTTGGAGAAAGATTCTGTACAATAAATGCTCAATTATGGCATAAAGCAGCATTGTTTACCACTTTTTATAACACCTCTAATCTGTGGAACTCCTGTTAAGTGGTCAACCTGTATTAAGCAGTGGCCCTACCATTCCCTGTGGGTGACTGCTTAATACAGGTTTGACAGTAATACACCTTTAAATAGTACATAAAAAATTAGGTTGTTAATATCAATTTTCTGGTCATTACCTGACTTCATAGCAATTGACACAGCCCCATTTTGAAATGACATAGATGCATAGCACTGAAGTGCTGGCTGTTGTATCTTGGGAATATCACAGACCAAAAGTGGCAGTAAGGCTGTGACAGCTCCCATATTACATAACAAAGCCTGATGTGCTGGACCCTAAAAGTAAAATGTAATTGAATGTTAACAAGAGATGAAATGTCCTCCACAGAACATGTACCTGACAAAATGCAATTTTTACTTTCAATTAAAACTCAAGCTCCTAATTTACCTCTTTCCCAAGAAATTTTTTTAAGCTATTCTCTTCAGACAGGAAAATCTGAGATGAGTCAGGGAGAGGTTTGCCAGGGGCTGGCATTTTTCATTTTGAGATATTTACTTCAAAGGTAAGAGTAGATTAAAAACATTTCAGCCAAGTTGTAAGTCAGAGTTTTGATTCAAACATGAAAGTAATGGACTTTCTTCATGATGAACATTCTCTCACATTATGACTGCAGAATGGCACAAAAACACTATGATAGGTGTTCACCTGGATACAAGCTCAGAGCCAACACTCTGCACAGGCCTCATGCAGAGCATAAAGCAGGCCACAGCTACACTGTAAAGATTCCTGGAGTTGCATTTTTTGTTGTAATCAATTTAAAATTGTATATTATATTTAATCCTGTTTCACTTGTTTCTTTAAATAACTACTTTTCAGGTAATTTAGAGCTTTGAGTGAAAAACATAGGAACAGCTCAAGAAATATAAGGTGTATTTATTGGAAAGTACCAATCATAGAAATTTAAACAGTATATACTGTAACAATCTCTGTTTACCTGACAACATTTGGATAAGATTGCTGCAGCTCCCTCCGCATTAGACAAAGAACTAGACAACAGGTTGACAAGCTGTGGTACTATGCTTTGATCCTGAGAATTAAGTCAAATAATTATAAATAATTTTTGTAAGGTAACATTTAATGTGACATGCAATATAATAAAAACTACAAAACACAATTGAAAAACAAACATGAGTTGGGAGAATTTAGTTAGTTGGAGTAATTTTCACAATTTATACACTCACAACTGTAAGAGTTAGATCTTGGATACACCACAGAAGATCCATGAGTGAGTGTTTGCCTTAAAATTGTAAATTATTGCATCCTGCTTATAAAACATTCTTGCTTAAGTAAATTTAAGAGACCTCCACTCTTCCAACTTCATTAAGACCTCACTTATCAATTGGGCACTTCTTGCATGAACCATGGAAAAAACTCCAGATTTCTTTCCTTTTCTTTTAATAATTTGTCTTTACTCTTCACACTTTTTGGGAGTCTTGAATCTCAGTTTGAGTTATTAATGAGATTAATACAGGAATCAGTTGTAGATGAAGAGTACACAATCCAAATAAAACTTTGCAATTTTACATCTACACTACAAAACAGAAAAGATAGGGAGACATATACTCTAAACAAACTAACCTCAATGACTGGTACACATGAAGATTCATAGACTGTCCTCAGTGATCTGACAGATGCTTCAACAACTCGAGAATCTGAATGACAAATTCCTGCCACAACAATAAACAGGCAAGGGCTTACTCATACATACACCCTATCTAGATAAGACTGCATTCTTGTAGAGATCATTTATTTGGTACAAGTACATTTTTTTTTCAGTAAAATGTGTCCAGTATGACTCAGTACCATGGAGTCAGGCATTGGCTTTGCTTTTCTGATCCCAAGATCTAATTCTTAATTCTCCCCTCTAGCTACTAAACATTTTTCTTGTAAATATTAAGTAACAAGAGTTTGGTACTACTGCTGTAGATCAAGATGACAGCTTCTACCTGATAAGTTTAAGTACTCTCATTACATGTTTGCTGGATAATGCATGGATATTACAGGGAGATGTTGTATGTTAATCACTTCAGGGAATGAAAAATTAACCACTGACTCTTAGAAGTTAAAAAATGTTACAGCCAGCAACTTGACTGCTGAACAAAAGTTCCAAAGTGGCCAATTACACTGTAACTTTAGTTAACAAATGTTTTGTTGTTGACATGGTGACCAAAAGCAGATACAGGAGCCCTGCATTGTTTACATGCATAACCACCCAAGTTCGTTCAGTCAAGATAGCTAGATAAAGGCCATTTTTACATTCTTTAATGAGTTTTTATGGGCCAAGACATTACAGGTCTAAAATTTAAACACCTCCAAAAAAAATAGACGTAATGGAGCAAATATCCACACACATTTTGCAGTTCCTTGATTGCTGTTTAAAACTGTTGGAAATGTTTTTCTTGTAAGAAAAAAAAATTCCCCCCACAAGCTACTTACAAAGTAAACCAACCAGCTTTGAGAATTTTTTTCCCAGCTGAATTAAGGTGAGCAATCCTAAAAGGGCTGGATGGCTGTAACTGGCCAAAGGATTTAATTTAGCTTTACCTTACCCAGTTAGGAAATCATTTATGTATTTATCAATAAATTACATGTCCTATAACCTTATATCTTTAAAAAGATGGTTAATGTTTCAACCAAGAATACTTGTTTCTGGTAATCTGATCTGACATGTATTTGTCTGATTTGTTAACATTAGCTCATCACAGTGAAAGACAATTTACTACATAAGAACCAATAATTATAACAACTTACCTTTTAAGAACACATCCAGAGATTTTGCATCTATAAGAGCTTGGACATTCTCAGCTGAACCTGTTAACCAAAAAAAAATGAGAATAAAAGGAAAATCAAAGCAGTATAATCTAAAATACAATAAATACTGATTCTGGATTATACCCCCAAACTCCCAAAGCTCTAATTGTATAGGGAATATAAATATCAATTTTAGAGTGGAAATTGTTGGTAAGCCCTACCTCTTGCCAGACTCCCTAACAGTACAACTGACTCCACAACAAAGTCAATCCCAGTATCATCTTGCATAAGTAGTTGAAGTATCTTTGGTATAATATCAAGTCTGATGAACGAGGATTTCTTTGCCTTATTACCAATGACAGCATTCTTTATATTACTGCAACGACAGAAAATAAATGATCCCAGGGCAACCAATGGGCATTGTATACAAGAGAATAGTGGCTCCTGTTGCTGAGGAGGTTTAACCTGCTATATTTCAATCAATACTCTAAATTTACATGGAAAATATTTTCTTGTTATTGGTACATGAGCTTTAATATTCATTCTCCTACTACAATATCTATTTATTAAGCCCATCAAGAAAGCCTCCACAATGGTTTCAAATATATTTTTGATTATCATTTTGATTGTGTGTGTCCACAGTTAAGATAGAAACAAATTAACATAGTTTTTTTACACACAGTTATAATTATCACATACTGTACATTACCCTGTGGCATAATTTAAAGCCTGGGATTTGGACTTACGTGGAGAAGAACTAAACTGGGAAGAATGATTACAAAATGCACTTAAATCAAATGATCTGTTAACTTGAAAAAATAAAAAGGTGCAGCTTGACTTTGAGAAGTTTTAAGTTTTTTTTTTGTGTTATATAATATAATGGGGCTGAACTAATTGAAAAGGGCTTCTTCAGTCAGCATTAAAGGCTACACAAAAGTTTACTAGAATTGGGAGTAGCTTTAAAAATTATAAGGATTCCGGGACTGAGGGGCAGTTTATTTGGGACCATGGGATCACAAGAGCATTTAGTGACTTCCCCATTAAATGTAAGATCGTGTCGCTAAAGCTTTAGTCTTTGTAACCTGTGATATATATAATTGTAACCACAACAGTATAGACACTGATGCAAGACTATGCAAGAACATAGATGTTTAAATCTAGAAACAATAAAAAGATAAAATTTTAGGGTGAAAAATCAGACAAATGCAAGAGATGTTTGCTACATGCTGTCCTAAAATATATATGAGTAAGCTTCTGTAGCTTAACGACGAGCTTGAGTTGTAGATTAATTGTGTGAGTAAATAGACAATTACGACTTCGCCGGAATTTGTTAACCGCAGAGCAGAAATCACAAATAACACTCTTTTACTAAGAGAATATCTTCATGGAACTCCAGAAGGTAACATTTAAGCTTACATAACCCACAACAATAAATTTACGAGAGCATAAAAAGTCACTGATCTTACGTTACGGCTTGAAGTCTGTCATCGTAATCAGAGGAGGAAAGGTTATTTACAAAAACCTCGTCCGTGTCCGGCTCCTAGAAGAAACGCCTCACTGAGTAAAGCATTTGGGAAATATACTGCAAGTTCAAATATCAGTAGCCTTAGCTTACCGTAAATACCGGCATTTTCATGGTGAAAACGAATCATATACATGTACCACAACTCTTTGCTACGTCAGCAGCTATAATCGAAGGCTCACTAATAATAATGCGGTCTCCGTCGTGTAAAAAACCACCAAAAGTCCTTGCCCTCTCAAGAGCGCTGTAAAATTGGTGTCTGAACATTTAGCGTATTTTCAACTGATAACCATTAAGGACCAGGGCCCCATTTCTCGAAGATCCCGGTAACTTAATGGCCCGAAGCAATGTTTTAAAGTTAAAATTTTAAGATTATAGAGGCAGGTTTTGGCACTCTAACAAGTCAATTTTTTTTAACTGATAGATATATTGCAGAGTTTTCAAACTTTTTAAACTCCCATTTTGAAAGAAAACAGAACAGCTTTATGGGCCTGTTCAGTTACTGGAACCTTAGAGAAAGTCACTGCCTTACATTATTGATCCCAGAGGGTGAGGAGGAGTTTTGAGGGAGTCACATGGTTTTCAGGGGGAATGAGACAAGGATCAGACATCACCAACAACGTATTGACCCTTTAACTCCCAAGTCTCATTATTAATTCTCCTTACTGTCTGCCATACAGTTCTTGTGATGTTAGTTTGCAGAATTTAGTATTGGATCAACTTTTAATCCCATAATTAACTGATATCTTTCTTTATTCTCATCACTTGTCTGCTTGATATTGTATTGATATTGTAAAGAGAAATTCTGTCTTGGTCACTCGTGCGAGTTGAAGGGTTGAGGGTGGACAAAAAAAATTTGATGGCCCATGATGAGGGATCATAAGAATATTTCAGAGCATTACAGAGGGGGTGGGGGTGGAGGTGGGGGAATCAGAAGTCACAGAACCAAATCCTCCGACCCAAGAGCTTAAGTTGACGAGAGGCAGGAAAGGAAATGAGAGGCAGGCCCCCAATGTTTGAAGATCAGATAACACTATCCACTGGATAAATCTCTACCCAATGGATAACACTATAAGTTTTACTATCACTTATCTACTGGATAGTGATTTAACCATTAGGTAACCAGGCCCAAGACATTTGGGTGCACAAAACTTAATTATTTTCTCCTAAGCTTTTTATCCCCAATTAAAACAAGTCTCTTAAAGATAACAAAAACATTAGTGTCCATATTCTCCACACTGTTCACCATAAACACTTAATAATATGCATTCTTGCATATAAGGAGAAATTAGATGCTAGTCACTCTTAGGGGTCAGAGGGTTAAGGTAACAATGCCTCACTTTATAAAGATATCTAGATTGGAGGCCTCTTCAAAGATAGTTCTTAAGCTAGAATCTTAACCACAGTGCCTAGTTTCACCAATGATTATAAAGATGTGTCAAAAAAATGCTAGGGGAACCACCATCTGGCTCCAAGTCAACTTGCATCATATCCAAGGACAGTAACTTTAATCAAAACAAGTCTCTTAAAGATAACAAAAATTGGCTATGCACTTGCAATGGAAATCATACAAGCCATGCTGATAAGTCCTTTTGCTGTCTGGATATTTAGTTTTTCCACATGTTAGAGATTCATTGTCATTCATTGTCTTGAATTTGGCATGTCAAGGAAAAATTAAGTGCACCTGAACAAATATCAAACTTTTGTAAAACATCAGTTTTGCAGTGAAAGGAAACTTTAATGGCATGAAATATTTGGTAGTATCAAATTACTCACTCAAGGGTATCAATAAAACCACCACAAAATTCTCCAAAATGAAAATTCCACTATGATTTGAGCCCCAAAGGATACGTGATTTTTACTAAAAAAAAATTTCAGGTTAGCCAGACTAGAAAAATGTGCCTTTTGAAACCCATTCTTTAAGTATATTTTCCAAGAAAGCAAGCTAATTAATCCAACAAAGATCTTTGGGGTCAGAGTCTTAAGTGGGTTGCCAATCTGTTGCTGGGCAACTCTACTCCTTTTGTTCTTGACATTTATCAAAATTTCTTGTGTTATTTCTACTGCTAGTAAAGAATACCTTTAAAAATACTCTTTTCTTAATTTAGAAGTACATGTATTATTCATCAGGGTTACAGCTAGATGTATATTAAAAAAAAAAGACTGCAATAGCCTCATGTTATTACATATTTATTTACAGCACTATACAAGTCTTGTTGTGAGCCTGCAAATTTGTTGCCCATTATACAAGTCTGTGTTGCAGTTCAGATTAATCCAATCCACTACCAATCTCCCAAACATGATGTATAGCTCCAGGATTTTTGTCTCATTCCTCTAAGCTGGTCAAATAACTTCAAGTACCAATCCCACACAATGTCCTCCAGCCCACATGGAGAATAAATACAGCACATTTAAACTTCATCCTCATTAAGAAGCATATTTGGAATTCCATTTTTGATAGGGAACTTTCTCCCTGATTCAGGGCAGACCAGTGATCCTTCTTGAACTTCCACCTGTACCAAAAATAATGTTAGTACATTTTCAAAAATGTTGGTTCAAATTTTCATCTAGTTTTGTTTATTTTTTAGAGTCAAGAATTTATATGCTTATATCCAATGCTTCCACAGAGTCTGGCATGCTAATTATGGTTGGACCTGTATTAAGCAGTCACTGGGAATAGTGGAGCACCTGCTTAATACAGGTTGACCACTTATTAAAGGTTTCCTGGAATAGGGTTAACCATAATAAAAAATCTCCATTTTATGCCATAATTGGTCACTTAATATACAGTTCATTCAACACCTTACTAAAAAATGCATTGACCTCTTGTTAATAAATAGCAACAACAAAATGGTGGCACAGTAAAAAAAAATGAGCAATAACAGCAGAATTACTGTACACAGTATACTGTTATCAAGCAGTTGGACCCCCAAGTCATTATTGACTAGCAAATGACTTGCATGAAGTTCATGCAGAATATTTGTCTCAACAGTCCTAAGAAGAGAAATCATCTGCTTTGCATTGGAGACATTTCAACTCAAAGTAATAACACTGATTTCAGGAGAAAAACATTAAATTAATTTTAGTTAAGAGATTATTCTCAGCCTTATTTGAGTGCCTGTTCAAAACAGGTGAATACAACACAAATAGGCTTCTGGGGTTCACACCATGTGACCACTCAATGAAGGTGAAAATTACAGAGTTTATGGCAAAAACAGTTTGGGACTATGACAAGTCACCATTTAATACTGGGTGACCAGTTAACACAGGTTAACCTTTATCACGGTACCCAATGTTATCTTTCATAAAAATTCCATACTTGAATATATGTGTGGATATAAAATACAAAAAATTTTGTACAATCACTTATAATTTGTTTCAAAACTACATACCTCGAGCAGAACATGATGTGCTTTCTTTAAGAACTCTTCATCTTTTTCATAGTCTGGAATCAATTCATCAGGTAAACCCCCAGACCGTCCAACCTTAAAACGAATGTGAAGAATAGATTAAGTCAGTTGTATAGATCTTTTCTTGAGGTCAAACCTTAAACTCTTAAGAGTGACTAGTAAGTATTCGTTTCAGTATTCTCACTTGCTGCGCTGCTTGTACGAGAGCACCCCAGTCCACTTTCGGAATCATTCGAGAGATGAATTCAGGGTTGAAATCCACCTCATTAACAACAACATTCACGACCTGAAGGAAAAAAGGAGAGGATATAACACACTAAAATAAATTTTATAAATGAATTACGGCTTCAAAGTAAACGAATTTAAGGCTATTAACACTGTAGATCAAATAAAGCGACTCCAGAATGTATCCACGTGCACGTCAAAGATGTCCATTTTTTGTTTCAATTATTTGACAACTACTTCGTTAAAAGTTAATCAACTACCTCTATAGCCAAAGGATATCCATTCTTTACGCCTTTGACGTGAGATGTAAGCATGTTATGCGTTAAAAGGCGCATTTTTGGCTATTTTATCACGTAAATAAGGGGAGGTTTAGCAGAGTTTCTACCGCGGGACACCCGCTGAACTACTCTGTGGGCTCAGCATGGAGATGAGGCTGAAGGAACACCACCGATTTGGGCGCGTATTTCACATGCAGTAGTTTGGCTGTGATGTTCACAACTGATGAAAGGGGGTAAGTTTCTAAGGAAACCGTGGTGCTGTGTCGGTGAGAGAGTATGACAGGGTAATTTGGTATTATCAACTCAGTTGATATCGTAAATTGGCCACCGTAAAGAGTTTAAAAGCTGACGTTTCGAGCCCTTTGTCATTCACTCTGACGAAAGCTAAACGCTCGAAACGTCAGCTTTCAAACTCTTTATGGTGGCCAATTCACGTTATCAACTCAGTTGATAATACCAAATTACCCTATGATGTTCACACATTCGTGAAGTGACCAGGGTTTTAATTATTATCTAAATTTTTATGCTCCATCGAGGTGTTATGTTTTGTTTCAATCGAACTGCACTTCGTTATGATCAGATATGCAAAAGAAAGGTGCCTCCGGCCAAAAGTGTTTTCGTAAAAGACGCTTCAAACGGCTTACAAGGGCGAAAAACTACCACAAATGCGTCGATTAAAATTTAATTTAACTTTATTGAGATTTTCAGACCAATATGTAATGTAGATATACAATTTTCAGAGCTTTATTCATAGCCCTCATAGATTTTGCTCGTTTCGTGTCAACGGTTATTAACCACGATCACATAGTGCGATCTGCCTATGGTTCTGCTTCGATTAAATGAGAAACTCTCCTAAGCAAAACAGCCACAGAGTTACACTTACTTTGGAGAGTGATTTGACAACCATTCTAAAACTGAATAATTACTATCGTTCTCTTAAATCCGTTTTTGCCGGTTATCCATTTTCAAGCAGAGCTCTTTTTGCTGATATTCACTGTACTCGACTGCTTTTACTAAAAGTTCCCCAATAAAGAAAAACGAAAAGAATACTAAATGGCTTAATTGTCAAATCCAACTGGAAGACCGAACTGTAAGAGCTGTCTCAATTGCCTCACATCAATCACAAAAAAAAACTCCAAGATTGTCTGTATATTTGCTCAAAAAGTGTGCCAATGTCAAAAACGTGTGTTACACACAACAAAAAAGGTGTTTGCTACACAGTGGATCAATTTGCATATATAGCTGAACTGGGAAC